TACATACATACATATGTACGTACATAGATGCATACATGCACATGCATTTATGCATGTATGTATGGCTGTGTATGTGTGTGCGTGTGTAGATATAGATGTATTCTGTATCTCTACCTCTAGCTCCGTCTCTAGATCCATGTCTGCATCTATATCTCTACCTGTAGGTACACATATACAGTCATATTCATATATAGATACACATAGCATCCCTCGCACCACTGCTAAGTGGCAATCGATTTTTTGTGATGCCGCACCCGATATAGAACGACAGTGGCGTATAGGCACTGCAACGTGCCAGATCGAATGCTAAGACTACAGTAGCTGCTAAAAGCTAGAGAGGCGATGCGGGCGCGGGCCGCCGGCTCTCCGGGCGATGGCTTGTTCGCGTGCGCTTTGAGGTCACGTCTCCAAGCCAGGCCACGGGATGCTCGACGTTTTGCATGCGATGGTCTTAGGGCTTAGGGTTTCGGCCTTAATTGGGCGCTCTGGGTTGGGGTTTACATGGGAAGGCTGCTGATTTCGAGCCATGTCCCGGGCATTTTCGGCAGGCGCAGAGCAGGGCAATTGCTCAAAGAGTTGGCCAGCTGGGCTTGCCTGGAAGAGACTCGCCCGACCTACTTTTGGGCTTCTGCTTGTAGATAGGCACACTGACAGGGCCGCTTTGCAGTGAGCATGCGAGAGGGCCGTGATCCTCCGTCTCCCAAGGCAGCACTGCATCCAGCTTCCAGGAAGAGTTTGTGCAGGAATTGATGCAGTCAGGCTGGGAAACCGGACGTTCGCACTCTGCATGTTGCGGCCCTGAAGCATATCATGATCTGGAGCCCGGAAGCTTGGATACAAGCCAGGTTCGACAGTGGTGCCCACGGTGCAGGCAGCGAAGCCTCTTCAGGACATGACATCAGAAAATTTCCTTTGACGTTTTGTGGTGGAGCTCCGCTATGACCCGCACTCCAAGAGGATGGTTCGAGAGCGGATTAAGTTTTGCGAGGCAGAGGCCGGTTATTCAATCATTGTGGCCGCTGCGGAATGCTAAGTTCAGATCAGGAGAGCTCACTGGGACGATTGTCCTGATGCCTCCTTGCGCTGAAACAATCAACAAAGCAGTGTGAGGAACATGCAAGCCCAAGCTTATAAGAGCCTACAGATCACAGCGAAACTTTGCAATGACTTGCGGTGGCATTTTAGGCGAAGATGTAAAACCGATACCCAACGTTCAGAAGTGCGAGACGCCGCTTCGAACGATTGTCCATACGGCACTTTTGCATGCCTTTAAGCAGACAGCCATGATTTGGTGCGCTACAGTGGAAAACTTGCAGTGTCAACAGAACATTTAGATCGTAAGGGCGTTCAGTGCTACTTAATGATGGTTGATGACGGCTTTGACGTTACATTCACCATCATGATATCCTTCCCTCCCTTCCCCTCCCGGTCCCGTCTCATACTCCCTCCCATGCAGAGAGCATTGGGGTAAGCTACGGGTTGATGCCCTTGCCCAGGGCTGGTCTCGTAGCGAAAAAGAGCCAACAGCACTGGTCGGGATTGGCTGGCAAATCTCCGGAAGTGATTGGCATGCAACTCCGCGGAAATCGGTTCTGCTCCTAGGTGTACCCTAACCACTAATCATATAAGAAGGGATCGGATTAGCATCAGGCGCACAGGAGCAATGATGCATCGAGACAAGTCCGAAGCCCAAACCTGCAACATCCAGGCAGCATCCCCGCTTCTCGAGCAACTACTGAGTACTCCCGGCCGGGAGAGCCCTCAAGCTTGAATGAAGTCTTTTTGGATCTTTCGATGTCACAGGACGGCGAGTCCTGGTCACCGCTGCCGAGCCCCAGCCCGCCACCTTCGCCGAGCACCACCGGGTCCGGGAGAGTTTTCTGGGTTGTTGGCATCAAAGCTCAGTTTCTAGAAGAACCGGCTCTGTTGGGTTCAGCTGCCGGGCCCGCGCACCCACCAGCTGCCAGCATTAAAGCGCAGAGTGACGCGGTAGTGACCGTGGGCTGATGGTTCCAGCTGTGGGATTCTTATTCGGCTGTTGGGGCTGACTCAATCCAACGACGCGAAGGCCTGCTGTCCAAAGTGCGGGCTCAACGACGGAGATGTCATCAGAGCCGGTGGCCACCGGGGACATGGGGTGGAGACTTGGCTTTGGGATGTCGCGCTATGATGTGTACCTACGTCTAAGAGCTAAACCTGCGGGCATATGAAGCTTCTGCGAAGTTCAGATATGGAAAAACCTGGTGCTGCCCTTGGTACTCCTGCCAGCGACCCGATTTTGCTGTAAAGGAAGCAAGGCCTGCGCATGGCACCTGTGTCCAGGATCGTTCCGGTGGCGATCACAGCTTTGGCCGTCTGCATTTGCACGCTGGCGGGCGGTGTTGCCTACGCGATGTGCTATTTGCAGCCCGATCTTCGGCAGCAATGCTGTTTGAACATGAGAAAGCTGCTCTCCAGTCGAGGCACAACTAGTCTCACGGGTGTTTATGTTTGCACATTGGTAGCTTCAGTTTGTGCATTCCCAGCGAAAGCGGGCAACAGCTTCCTCTGCTCAAAACAGCTATTGGTCAGCATCGTCCCCGATACTTCCAGCATCAACGCTTCAGTCCAGCCTGGTCAGCTCGATTTTGTGGCCAGAGCCTTCCAGGCCCGAGTTGTTCCCCTGCCCCAAACACGAGCCATCCCGTAACGCAGCCGCAACTGCCAACAAAAAAGGGGTTTGGAGCAGCGCGGCTGCTGAGAATCCAGACAGCTTGCGCCGGCACAACCTAGAAGCCTCACTAGTGCGGTAGAAACTCATCGTCGTGTTGACAAAAAGAAAGCTTCCATCAGGTTCGGCAGGTTCGGTGCTGTCTACAGCCTTCCATGTTGAAGCTCAAAGGCACTGCAGAACGAAAAAATGCGGCGCGAACCGCTACAATGCACCGCTACGATACTCGTGCGTGTAGAGACCATCCCATGATGGCCCCTTCTCCGTGCCCGATCCGGTTTACGACGGACACACCACTCAACAGCACGAACACATACACACACACACACGCACACGCACACGCACACACACACACAGACAGATATGTTCGTTTTGCCGAGAGCGAGAGGCAGATTCATCGACATTTATGTCACAGACGCTTCCGTGGCGGTCCATGAAGGATACTGGATAGGCCCAGAAGCCTGAACTTTGCGCTCAGCTGAGGAGAGCCCTGCAAACGGTAAACGCCCCGTGGCTGTCGTAACGGGAAGGTGTCTTCACAGGCTTCAGGGTATGTAAATGTGTCTCTTGCCTCCGAGGGGAGTTGCGTACTGTAATGGGGTTTATGGCGGCTGAGGTCAAGACAACTGACAGAACTCTGGGTATTCGCTTACGGGCAAGGGTGTGGAAGAATGCTGCCGAGGTTCTAGGGTGGCAGATTCCGGCCAAGCAGAGTCCATCGTCAAGAGGCCGATATGTCTTTTGGTCCCGAGTTGAACTCCTTGTGGGATTCGTTGGCATCCGGGGCTGAACATGCTTCTGCTCGGTGTTCCTGTGCTCGTGGCTGGCACCGCCGATTGTTTGTGAACCGTGAGCCCTTCTTACTCCGCCAGGACTGCCAGCGGCAATCCGGTCCTGCTGTCAGATGATTTACGGGACTCTGCGAAACATGGCGGCAACAGAAACTGCGAAGAATAGGACTACTTGTCTTGACAAAAAAGGGTCCACTGGAAACACACCTCCTTGTAAGCAGATCCCTGATTCATGGCAACTTTTTGGGACAAGTTTTCTGAATGGCTAGCACATAAGATGGCATGTTTAATGCGACGAAGCTCGAAACTAGGCGAGTGACCAGCACTACCATGACAACACTACCAGTACCGGTGCTAGCCGCAGCAGCTTCAGGAGCATAATCAGTCGTCATAGATCGCCATCACCACCACCATTACACACGTTGTCGTCATCATCATCATCATCATCCGCAACATCATCATCGTCGTCATCATCATCATCACCATCATCATCATCACCATCATCAACATCATCAGCAGCAGCAACATCATCATCAGCAACATCGTCATTGCCATCATCATCATCATCGTCATCATCATTATCATCATCATCATCACCATCATCATCGTCATCATCGTCATCATTTCCCGTAATCGTCAGGGCCATCATCATCGGCATGACCAGCCGCATCACCAACAGCTTCAGTGGCAGCAGCAGCAGCAGAGCCCGTTTCGTCGTAGTCCTCGTTATCATCGCCACCGTGGTGGCGGCATCTACCAGCTGCAACACACACACACAGAGATCAGATGCAGTTCTTCGATTTTGAGGTGCTGTACATAGGGCCACAGCCAGCAGTTAAAGCATGGGCTTTCGCGGTCCTGACTTTGAGCATAACTTCTCCCTTTCAAGCTACATCGGCGCGCTCTGAGGAAAGTGGATCTGCAGCCTGCGGCGAGTTGCCCGACTGTGATTAATGAGTGTCCACCCATAGAGAGGGCCGGGTTCTGAAGTCATCACGTGTGGGTTAAGCTAGTGGTCCCAGAAACAGTGCTATGCCGGCACACTCGTGGGGTCTTCTAGAGGGTTTCATGTGGTGCCCAGCCCATCCCTTCCTTGTGATGTCGGATGGCAACATTGCACTTCAGCAATCGCGAGCTCGTGAGCTCAATACCTGATATTTACTCTAGTTTCGGAAACTGGCCTACTCGTAGCTGGCATCGGTGCCAAGGCACACAGCCAAGCGTTCGTGCTCCGCGTTCTGGGCTACTTTGGCCGAAGCCCAGGGGCAGAAGCGTCTTCAGACATCCGGCAGGGCACACTGTGGCTTTTGATGCGTAAAGGGTGCTGCTGGGAAGAACACAACATTGAAGAGTCCTTCTTCCAGCCTTGGATTGTGTTCTCCCAGGAGAAGCCAAATTGCTGCGATGCCAGCCTCCTCAAGGTGAGCGCAGCAAGGGGTCGCACAGGGAATGGAAGTCGAATCAGGGAGGGCAACGAGTCTTTTTCCTATGTCCGAGATCTTTTTCATGTGTGATACCAGTCTGCAGCACGTTTCGCTACCCATTCTAGAAGAGTCGAGTTGAGCTATTGGTGAATGTCGTCGGTCATTCGATGGGATATGCGTGTTCCACAGCATCCATGGATGACTTTCGTCCCAGCTTGCCTGGCCTGGCAAGGAGCCATGGCGGAAGCAGTGGAGGCGCCCGGAAGCAAGGATTCGAGGTTTCGGTGATCGCCTTGGGGGCATCGGTGTAATGAGGGCTTATATCTGAAGCACCTAACAGCTCGTCAGCACGTGGTTTCAACATGGCTAACAGATTCACTAGTCACTGGTTATGCCACAAAGTCCGCTGACAGAATCCTCTTTTAGTCAGCCATGGCCCAGGTAGTCGACACAACTCTCGTGTGACACCCGGGAGGTCGTGAAAGCACAGGGAAGAAGTTTGGTGCATTGCCCCGCCAAATGTCAAAGCTAGAACGCTTCTGCGATGTCTGTCGTTGGGAATGCCTTGGTGGAGCCTAAACTTCTTCCGCCAACCATGCAAGTCGTTGTGTCCTGTTTTGCTCGCTCTGTCCTTCGATCCTGGACAAGGGTGTTCGGCTCGTGCTTCTGTGACCTAGCATGAACTAGCCTTTGTAGATGGCTACAGTTTGCGCTCTTGGAAGAAAGTCACGGCGAGCAAAGGGCCAAAGAATCTACGCTTGAGACATCACGCTCAACCGCAACAGGAAAAAGAACCGCTGCTGCCAGCTGATCAGGCTTTGAGGTTCAGGTCGTTCCGGAGAGGTCAGATCAAGGATTGCGTGCCACAGTTGGTTCCCAGGCGGCAACAACCGCCTACATCCCGCCCGAGGCGTCGATCGCACTAGGGCTAGACAGTCCCGTGTTCTGCCCTGGCACTTCTTGGAGTCGTGAACCTCGCAATCTCAATCTCTCAATCTGCGCATGCCTGCCACCATCGACAAAATTTGCCAGGGCCATCCATCGCCAGAGGCGACCAGTGGCCGCGGCCTGGAGTTCCAGGAGCAGTCGATCTACGGAATTCCAATGATGACTATGTCACTATGTCATATAGATCATATAGACAGCAGAGCGAAATCTTCGCCAAAGCCCACTGGAGCATGCTTCATCGCATGATCAGAGCTGCATGTTTAGTGTCGGATTCCTGCTTGCAGGGGTTTTAGAGCTCTTCAGTCTGATCTCCGGGGCTTTGCGAGTTTTAGCGTCTCGGGCTGGGCTGACGACCGCCGAGCTGATGGCAGGAGCGAGTTCCTCCACCTCCTCCCCCTCAGGCAGCGGTTCAGTCCGTGACAGCAGAGGGGCACAAGCGCGTGTAACTATCTTAAAGCACCCTTGCAATGCACGCAGCTGCTCACCATTGCCGTAAAGGTGTTATGACCATGTCTAGAGCCTAGAGTCCTAGAGAGTAAGTCTCCTTATCCCACGTGCCAGAGGGTCTGGCACCTGGCGTCTCGACCTTCCCATCTTATGTTGCACCATGACAGCGACCGACCGATTGTGACTACGTACGATAATAGGGTCTGTCAGTACCACGCAAACAGTCGATGTGGCAGCCTGTTGCAGCTGTCGCCACTTCGTGGGGCAACAGATCTTGAACCGCCGATCCTACTGTTAATGGGCAGAGGTTTGGAGCACCTAGTCAGTGCCTAGAACATTCGAGTTGCATGTCAGAAGAACAACCCCAGATCCGAAACCAGCACTCTCGCTTCTGCCACAGATTTCCCATGCAGGAGACTGAAGTCCCACCGCCTCCGCCGCCGCCGGCGCAATGAACGGAGGTGCTGATGTCGGTTGGCCCTACGAATCCTGCCGAGTGTGTGTTAATCGTCATGGCTTAGTTCTAGTTGCCAGACAAAACCGCCAGGATCACATGAATCCGAACTGCATATTGAAAAATCGATAATCCGCTAAGGCAGGCGTTGATGGCCCCTCGTTGTTTGGACTTGGGTCCACATGAACAGACGTGATCGTTTTCTGCCTGCCTTTCAGAAAAGAAGACGCTAACCGTTGCAGGAGGTTGGCGGGATTGGTTGGATTAAAAGGGATTGGAACATCTTGAAATTGTTTCAAAATTTAGACAATCATGTCAAAATATTTGTTTCCCCAAACTGATATTGTTAAGTACGCATACTGTATGAGCTGGGCTCAAATGATCGTATATTGATTTTAAAACAAGCGCTTGTCGAAGATGGGAGATTTCAATATACTAATATTACAATTGTCATTTTAGGATCTTGAATTTTCAAGAGTCGGGAATTTGATTTTTAATAAGAATATCGAATTTATGAATAATATGAGGTCTCTAGATTAAATAGAATAAGGTTCGAATGATATTCTAAAGATCCCTCTAGATAGATTATTGATCATATATATTCTAATTATTATATATTCAAGATATCTAGAATAGAAATCGAAAATTTCAAAATATAGAATCTTCTAAATAGGTTGAATCTTTAAATATAGATTATTTTCTTTTTAATTTTTTCTTATTATATATAAATTCGTTATTTTTTAGTATTCGATATCGTATTTTATTCAAAAACATTTCATATTTTGTA